TCCTAAACTACAACACTGACATCAGGTTTTCAGAGTTATGTTAGGATGAATAGCCAAAAATATGAGTAATTTTCTAGTTCTAAAAATGCAGAAATATCATAATTTATCTAAAGATTCCTGAATTCATATCTTCTTGCAAAATTGATTTTTTTTTGGTTGAAGCATTTTATCACAGAATAATGTTATAATTTATATTACATTACCTCTTGCAGACCAGTATGTTTAAAAATAAAAACATATTGAGAACTTGAGCAGGTAGATTATACTTTCTTTCCTTTTCTACATTTTGGAAAGCCCTTTATATTCAATTTTTTTCCCCTCTGAATGTTCTTCATCAAGATATCCCCAAAACATGACTGTATTTAATTTACAAATATTTTCTTTCTCTTTGTATGAATGTCTGATGTMCATTTAACTTCTCTGTGGTTAAAGAATACATACTGAAGAATCTTATCCCTTATGTCACTGAATCAGGCATGCCTATRGATTAATCCAGTTTGGGGTGCCTGATTGTTCAATTAGATTAGATTCTGAATAGGAAAAAGCAAATTGAATTATTGTGCCTTTATCCATCTCTACCACTAAGCCATTGCACTTAAAGAAACACAGAATGATGTGTGGAAAAAGACATTTTTCTTGATGGTGAGCCCTCATCCATAGAGAAAAGGGAATTTACGTCCCTTGCCACTGAAATTTTGTTCAGGATGGGTTAACCTGGCTTCTACAGGGTTAGAGCAAATCTACAGGGGTGCTCACAGCAGGTGTGAAATTGCTAAAGGCTCTCTCTTCCCAGCCCGCTCACTTCATTACCTTCACTGAAAAGTCACTGAAATGGAAGAGCCTTTTGACCTGGCCATTTTCTGGTTGGTCATATTTGCAGGGAAAGGAGTGGTACCTGGGGTGGTTTCCCTTCTGGGTGTCTCCTGCTTCCCTGCACTGTCATAGCCAAGGCCTTTCTGGTGATAACAGCTCTCTGCAAGTGTATTTGCCACTCTTTCCTCATTATTGCTACAGGCCTATCTGTTAAATCTTAAATACTAATGAATCATTAAAAAGGGTATTAACATATTTGCTGGCCCTATATGTGTGTCTTATTCTTCACAGTTTTATGSCAATTTCTATTAAAAAACCTCATTACAGAGATTATTGTGACATGCTTTGAAACAGCAGCTTTCATTACATATTATCTGTGTATTGGAATTTGGGAAATTAATGCACCAGGAAATGAAATGACTCACCCAGGGTCTCTGAAGATGTATGCTCAACTCATGATTAAAATCCAGGCAGTAGATCTTCATTGTGTTTGCTGCACAATCTTTTTTGCTGTTTTTCTTTTTTTCTATWTTTTTTTTCTTTTAAGCCACATCCTACAGTTTTACATTGAGCTGGAAAATTCCACTGTGCTGCTTTTGTTGTCCAACTAATTGGCATTTAGCCAATTACATTCRTTAAATACGCCTTGCTTGTGAGCATTCCCTCCCTTTCCTTTGAGGTTCAAAGGATGGAGARAAAGTGGGATAACAGGAAATAAGAGCCAGGCTGTGGGGAGGATTGGGCAGGGAAATGGAGAGGCAAAGTCCAAAGATGTGCTGCTGCTGCTGTTGTGAGTCTTGGTCAGCTGCCCAAGAATTTTTGACATTTGTAATAATTTTATCTGTTGTAGAGCAATTAAATGTTTTCAGATATCAACATATCATCAATATTTAGTCATCATRTGGGGTTAGAAATTTATTTCTTAACTGCTGTTTTTCTTTCTGTGCCAGATGGAGAGAAATGAGCAAGAAATTCAGAGCAATAAAATTACAATTTATYTATATAGACAGATAAGTGGAGAATAATTTTCATTTAAGGGAATATGTCCTCATTTTGGAGACTTCCTGAATATACCTTAGCTTTAGTTTGAGAAAACAGATGTGTGAAAAATTTCATTTGTAATAATAATAGTAAAGAAATTAACATATGCTTATATTTTTCAACCCACTTTATACTTCGTGGAACACCAACACAATACACGCACATGTATCATTGCAGAAATAATAATATTTCAAGTTAGAGAAGTACTTTCTTTTTTTTGCCTCTTCTGCAACTGCAGTTTGAGAACTGCTAGCCAGGATGTGAAAGATTTACATGTGGGATCCATACAGTTCCAATGTAGCAGATTTAAAGGCTGTAATGCTACACGGCATCCAGGAATCTGACCAATTTGACTCATAAAACCTTTATTTTTTAAACAGAATCTGCAGTATAGTATCTAAAGCTTCTCATTTCCTGCTTTTCTGATCAGAAATGCAGACTCATTACTGAGACAAGCTAAATGTAAGTTAATCTTTTGATCTATTTGAAAAGATGACTTTGTCATGCAAAAAAAACCCAGGCTCAATCTTCAATTCAATTCTCTTCCATTTAGATTTTTACATTGAGCATCAGATGGACTACTGACTGTGTAGGTGTACCTTGTAGGTGAATCCAGATTCTGGATTGTCCAGGACAATTTCAATTGCTCAGTTAAAATGTAAGTAAGTAATGCTCTTAGAAAATATGAAGTTGATTGAAAAAAAGGTGTCCTATTGTAATCCTCAAAGCACTTCTGTGAAGTTCCAGTACTTGTGGAAATTCCCAATATTCCCAGAATATTGAAATAATTGGAATAAAAACAATGCACAAATGGAGAGACAAAGTCAATAGAAATTTTAGTGAGGAGGCAGTTGTGTTAAAAGTAATTTGGAAAACTAAGCTCAGGCTTCTAAGAAAAGATTTTACATTAAATATTTTTCTATTTTTTAAGAACTTTTTTGGTTTGTATTTTATCTGGTTAATCTGTGAGTGTGGTGAGGCACTGGAGTAGTTTTCCCTGAAATTTTGTTGATGTACCATCCCTGTAGGTGTTCAAAGACAGGTTTGATGGGGCTTTGAGCAGCTTGGTCTAGTGGAAGGTGTCCCTGCCCATGGCAGGGGCTTGGAATGAGATGATCTTTAAGGTCCCTTCCAGGCCAAACCATTATTTGATTCTCTGATTCTATGATTTTATGAATTCAAGGTATAAAACTTCCTCATAAAAAAAAAAAAAAAAAAAAAAAAAACAAAACAAAAAAAACAAAAAAACAAAAAAAAACAAAAAAAACCCAATCCTCTTCAGGGCAATACAATATCTGCAACAATAGCACTTACCTACAACTGTGAACATGATTTCCCACACAGGAAAAAAGTAGGAAATCACTTATAAAAGCAAAAAAACCACAAGGAAAGAAAAACAAAAAAAGTCAAGGTTTATTGAATTTTYACACTGAAACTCAGATTTCTTCTTTCCCACAGAGTCACTCTCCATAAGAAGAAAATTAATAAAATACTCCAAATTTCTGTAAAAATTGTTTTCAAAAGCAGGAACAGAGGAATCATGTCAGCTTAAGAGATTGTGAAGAGAAATATTTTCCTAGATTTTGAGAAAAAGACACATTATTATTAATACATTTATATATTACTTTTTGTTTCTAAAAGTAAGTACATTCAGGTAGTACAACTTTTTGAGTTAAAAAGTGGTATAGAGTAGAATTTCTTTATTACATCATCATTTGGTGGCTTCTGTTTGTTGGCAAGATAAAGCAGAAATAAATGTATCTGTAAAAATGGGAAATTACTTTGGCAAAATAGAGTAATTTGAAACATTGAAAATAATAGAATCATTGAAATTGGAAAATGACTCTAAGTTGTATTATCCTAAAAGATGCCTAGTGTTAGACAGATAAATATATGCAGATTCTGATTTCCAGTCAAGTTGTTGCATTGTGGAAGGTGTTTTAAGCACCTTTTAAGCACCTTTTAATGCAGAGTCCTGCTCGAGCTTGTTCAGGCTATTATTCACCTGAAATATTGATTTCCATTGTCACTTTTTGTTCAAATTACACTTATTTATTCATTAGAGAATTTTAATGGATTGATTCAAGCTTGCTTTTGACTTCAAATTAGTCATAGATTCAATTTGAAGCAGCTCCATAAAACTATGATTTGCTGAAGTGCAAAAATGCTCKCAGTTGTCCCAAGAAAAATCCATTAAAAATGTAAGAGTGAGGCTTGTTTTGACAAATTTCAACATGAGTCATGAATACTCAGGATTCTTACACCTTTGAACAAGAATTTTCAAGCTGCATAATTTTGATCCCAAAATAATACCTCATGACATATTATCACAAATAAATTCTCAGACCTTAAGATGTTACTTTTTATAACTAGTCACAGACTTATGACCTATAGAAACTRTCTTATCTTCTCTTTTGATTTTATACTCCCTGAMTAATAAATAAATGTTGAACTGCAGCATCTGAAAAAAAAATCAAACAGTTCCTTTTGGATCCATAGCATGGAAAAATTCTGTTTTCTTCTGGTGATGAAGCCTAAAGATCCATGCTTCATCAGTTATCATAATATCCATGCATGTTTTTATAGATTCATTAGTAATAAAAATATTATTCTGAAATAACTTTTGGTGGGAATTTAGACAATTTCTGATGCAACTGCACTGAGGTCTCCAACTTGGTTTTTTAGAATGTGAAAATAAAAAGCACATAGTGATTCTCCTATTCCAGAAGTGAAAATATCCTGTGAGAGGGACATTTGATGTGCAGAAATCGAATAAAATCATGTCACACTGTAGTCACTGATTCCATGTTCTTTGAGAGGGACCCACAKTTCTTTTCATAGCTGGCCTCCAGCTTTGTGGAAGCAAGTTTACTTTCTTATTCCTAGATAACATCTTTCAGTTATTTATCATACCTGGACAGATATGATCACAATTCACAGGTGGGGCTCGGACAAATTTTAATGGTTCAATGACATTCACTATTTAGAAATAATAGCAATTTGTAGTTTTTGGGGATTTGTTCAGCAAACTTCTTTTGCAGTGTTTTGCTTGTACTGCTACCAAAGATGTCTCTGGCTTTCTCKAGAAATTCAATTTTTGATTATGCTAATTCTGAAACTAAATTTCTGTGTGTGCTTTAGCCAACATGGAAGCATATTTTGCAGATTCATTTGCAAAGCTWACTGAGAAAGTGAAACTGCAATGCATATATCCAACAAAAAAGCTGTGAAAATGCAAACATCCTGGATGAAACCTAATGTAACTCATAAAGAAAATACATCCAATTTGTGGCACACATATCACAGACAAATACAATAAAAGAATTTATTTTGGAAATAGGGACAAGTCCTTATCCTTCATCAAGAGCACTGTGAAAGATGATGGTCTTCATTAGAACTAACATTTTCTCCATGGTAACTAACTCAGATGGAATWTTGAAAAAGGGGTAGAAATTACTCAGTCAGAGGAATAGAAAATATTCAGGTAATCAAATCTCTCATTGTTTTACAARTTTCAGATATGCAAAGACAGAAATCTATGCCAAGTCAGGGAGTATCTGGCATTGCAACTTTTTCTTTAAAGAGAAGTATTTTTAAAAACAGAAGTGGGAAGGAAAGAAAAAGATCTAGCTATGCCAGTGTATTTTCTGTGTAGTTGTCCATGTACTTTCCAAAAATTGTGTAATTACCTGACTTCTCGTCCAGATTGGTATCTCTCAGCCCTGTGACTAAGAGGAGAAAKAACTCTTTTCTAGTAATTTTCCATGTGTGCCTATTCAGCATGGGTCAACTGAAAACTGAAGACTGAGAAGAATCCGTGTGTGCATGTGACAGAATAGCTTTCAAAAGATAAGCAGATTGTCCTGTTGTTTTGTTGATCTGTTATTCTCAAYGTAGGAAGATTATATTCCTCTTTCCTGTTCTCCAGGGTGAAAATAGATGCCATTCAACATTTGATTGTATTTCCCAGCTRGGAAATAAAAGATTGAAAGGAAATCTCAGTTCCTAGCATTTGAACGACAGGCAAAACAGATCKCTTATTTGGTTCAGTCTCACCTGACTTCTGGCAGGGCAAAGCCCTTATTCACAGTGGGTATGTTTTCTTTAAAATTCTAAAAGTGAGATGCAGTAGAGATGTGGAAGGTTGTTCAGTGCTTTTTCTGGCCAAGGCAGCACTGATATCAGCTGTTTGTTGCAGATGTCTCTGCTAGAGCTAATGTGAAATGATGCAGGAAACAAAGCAGTCACCTTGCTGTGTGATGTTTCTCTTCAGTCCAACACCTCTCCTAAACAATCACCTTACAGATTTCAGTACACTGTAAGCTACACAAAAAGTGGATTTGGTATCAGAGGTAAGGTTTTTTAAATTATTCAGTATTCTCAGTATGTGGGATTTCTGTCTTGGTTTGAGCACGTTAAAAATGAAACCTTAATGAACAGCAAACCCCTCATGTTTCAAGTATGTCTATTGAAATCAACTACAAAGGGAGATAATAATTTTGAACAGCAATTAATCCTTTTCCATTTAAAGAATCAAGATTTCTGAGAACAATCCTGTCCAGCTCCTGACAGATATGTATAAACATGGTCTTTATAAACACTGATCTGAGGAGAATGAAGTGTACCTCCAGTGAAGATAAATACTACAGCTTCAATCTACACCAAAAATGAAATGTGTTATTAAAACCAGAGTCTAGAGAAGGYATTTATTTAAGAAGTGGTTATATTAGAACTGTTGTCAGTCAGGCTTTATCTTAGTTTACTAACACCTGTGTCAGTACTAAGTATTTTAAACTCCTGGATGACATTGTTGCTGTGATTAAATAAACAGTAAATTTCTAATTCACTTCAATGTAGCCAGTATATAAGCTTGCTGCTGACTTCAGATATATATTTTTGCTTGAATTTCAACCTGTAAAATTAGGACATGGATGTTCATCTTTAAAGTGGTTATTTTTTCTGTACCAGGGCAAGAGTTTGAGGCAGCTGGGTGTTATTCTCATAACTTGACTGTATGTGGATCTTGCTCTGAAAGATTAATATAAAAAAATAATTGAGGTCCTGTTATATTAAGTGCTTTTAAAGGTATCTTTTTATTTTATGGAACATAGAAATCTGGCATATATACTAGAATGATCATATTATAAGTAATTAAACTTTTTTCCAATTACAGTGTGGGGTTTTTTTTTTTGGTTAGGATTTAYAAGTTATTGATTCCCAATAGACATTGCTTTTCTAAAAGCATTAATTTATCTACAGTCCCCCAGATGAATAAACAACTCACTGCAAAATCCATTTCTTCTGTTTATAGCAGTTAATCAACAAAAATTTAATGGACTAATTTATTTTTCTTGTGATTTGCATGGTGTCTAATGCTTTGTAAAYCATGCTTTTAGTTTTAAATATTGATTGGCTAAGCTAAAGTTGTGAAGTGTCTGCCTTTAAAAGCATGCAACTTTGTGGACACATATATTCAAAATGAAACTTAAGCTGCCTCTGTAAATTGGCACAGTGAAGTAAAGCAGAGGTTATTAAGGTTTTTGTGTCAGTCAAAACTGAAGACTGGTTTATAATTTAAATCATGCTACCAAGGCATTGAAAATTGCCAGGATTTATCTATAATGACCTGTTACTGCTGGACACAGAGACATTTCTGCACCATCTTGAGCAGGTAACTATGCCATTGAGGAATCTACAGTGCATACTTCAATGAGAGCTGACAGCAGAATATAGATGTAGAATATATGATTGGCTTTCAAAATTTCCATTGAAAGGAAATAGCAGAAATAAATGGAAATAATGCCATATGGCATTATGCTCATGATGGAGATTTCTTAACGAGACTAAATGTGAAATGTTCTTCACATGTCAATCATATCTGCTGACATTTACATAAATTTGAATAAAGTATCTTGGATTAACTTTTGCTGTCTTGCAAAACAATGAATATTTCTGCACTTAGTCTGTTCAAAGTTGCTCTTACGCTTCATTCCTGGTGATCAACAGAGGTCATGAGTGTGATTCAGTTTGCCCATGTGCTTTGTACAATTTTAAAAAGTACGAATACAGAGTGAGTAAATTTGGTGTGACTCTGATTTGCATAAATTGAATCCTTGAGTGTTGTTGTTTAATGAGTAAAGATTTCAAGGAGTGTTTCATGGTGACAACAGTATCACCAGATTCAGAAACTCAAGTGGTAGCAAGACCCTGACAATATAAGAACAAGATATTAAAAAAGGTTGGGGACCATGGTTTGCTTTTCAAAATAAAAACTGAAAGAGAAGCAAGAAATCAGGTATTTGAAAAACATTAAACATGTTTTTCTTAGTATTTTGACAACATCACTATTTATTTCCCTTTAAAGTAAAGGTGTCTTTATGAAAAGAACATCCATGGTGCTTGCACCCATTGTTATGTGATAAAGATGCTATTGAGTGAATAAGAGATCACTACAGATTTGTAGTGCTTGAGATGTTAAAATAATACTGGAGAAATGCTGTTTAGGACTCTTCTTGTGGTTCAGTCTCTGGTCACAGAACAGCAATTCATCCCACCATGGCCTGGGTGGGGTGAMCACAATTCTTTTTCAATCAGGGACAAAAGTGAGGAAAAATAATATAMATGATGGCTGAGTTAGCATAAGGACCTGAGATCCTAGGAGACACAGGAGGATCTCACAGGACTCTCTGTTGTGGCTTATGGGATCTTCTTTTGTTTCCTTTCTTGGGAATTTTTCTTTCCCATTTTTGTTGCTGGGATACACTGATTGCCAGGTCATCCTTTTGATGGCAGGGCRATTAGTAAAGACAATAGGACCTACACCCCACCCAAAYGACCTTGCTAAGTACTGGGAGGGGGTGTGTGTGGGTGTGGTGGTGGCGGGTAACTATATATAYTGCCCTGCTTGGCTCAGAGGGGAGTTGGCCTGCTACCTGTGGAGCAGAGCTAGACTGCTCTTTGGTTCCTGTTTTGCTGCACTGTGATCTTCTGCCTCGATCTGAGCCAGCCGGGACCTGCGCCACAGYRCTCCTGCAGTCACYGGGGAATCAGGTGAGYRTCTYTGTGTGAGGCTGTCACTGGGYTTGTGGCTGGGCTGGTTGCTGCTATTGTTGTTATTACTTATTTTCACTTTGTTATACATATTAATAAAAMTGTTATTCCCTTTCCCCCATATTCTTGCCTGGAAGCCCGTGGTTTTTTTCCAAAGTTATAATAAGTCAGAGGGAAGGGGGGGTCATATCCACCACTCCAAGGAGGGGGTCCCTGCCTTTATTGGCAAAACACCTGTCTTTCAAACCAAGACACTCTCTCATTAGAGAGGCTTTTTCTTGGTGTGCTGTCCTCCTTGTATCATTGGCAGATGGAAGACCAGGGAATTGGGATAAATCTCCACTTATATAAAATTTTTGATGTAATTATTCTAGTAACTGAWTTTTTTTTTTAAACTAGATGTGGTCTTAGTGTAGTCCTGGAGCTATATCAAAAACTATATAACAAAAATGTAAGGATATGTATTGTTCCTTTTACCTTAAATTTTGGCTAAATATTTCCTATGGCATTTATGAAATATGTGAGACGAAACTCTTGCAGTCTGCACAATCTTATCCACGCTTTCTTTTTGGGCAGTGACTGAAACAATTCTGAAACAGACTGACAGAAAAGAAATAATATAATAAAGGATATTATATCAGAAACTTCACATGTTATGTAGCTACAGGATATTCTTACAAGTGGATGCAGTGTTGAATTCCAGCACCATAATTGCAAAGAACTTGAGAGTTCGTGCTGCCTCTTTTACACATGAATGTATYGGTAAAGAACACTCTAGTTATCCCACAGGAAGATGCTTGCCAGCTGGGTGAATCTGAGGTTTCTTTTTTTTCCTTCCTGCAGTCTGAGCATACATCCAACAGTTTTCAGAACTGAATTCAAGGGACTTTTTTTACCCTCAATGTTCCCACATTTTATGAGTCACAAATCCTCCTGCACTAAGCAGACAAAACTCATACTTTCAGTGAAGAATTCTTTACATATTCTCTAAGATGTAAAATTTCGTAAGAATAGTCAGTATCTTTATTCCATTATTCTTAGTGAATAGTTAAAAGTGATCTATATTTTCTTATTTACAATGCTTAGAGATGCATGTCCGAAGACTGATTTTGAGTTCAGTAAAAAAAATGTGAGGAGCAGAGATTGAAGTCATTACTAATAGAAGAAGCATTAGAATTGGAGATGTCACACAGGAACTGCTGATCATTGAAAAGCTGTTAATTCATGCACTTGCTGTCTGGAAGAAAAAGTGTTTGAAGCTGCAGGTGTTGAAACTTTAATTTCATATGGAAGAGCGTAGAGAGAGCCAATGGAACAGTCCATTGGATAGGGCT